CAAAAAAAAAAAGGCAATGCATCTGTATGCGGTAGTGCGTCTCCGAATAGTTCCTGGGGGCTCGCTGGAGACGTCTACGAATATCTTCTGCCCAGAAGTGCAGTCTAGACTATCTAGCCCTAACTGATGGAGAGCCTTTACTCTTAGCATACAAAAGGCTATTCCTCCTTCGTAAGCAGACATTTTTTTATCCAAGTTTTCAGCATCACTGACCATCATACGACTCCACTTTAGCTTAACCAATTTTCCTACAATAACACCAAACAAAGTAGAAATGAAAGATCCAAGCAGTAAATATAATAATATTATAGTTTGAATATAACAGAAAAGATGCATATGCAGTTCTTAGTTTTAGTAGAGGTCTTACAGAGCTCGCAACTGCATAAGGTCATATGAGCGCCAGAAGATTAGAGGTGTTACAAGAGAGTAACAAACATAAAAAAGAAGGAGGGGAGATAAGGACGATATGTGTTTGATAGGAAAGAAGAAACAAACCACTCTAGAACACCCGCTAACCACCCACACATATGCAGTGGTTTGGTAGATTTGTGTTGTGAGTGTAAACAACAGTGTGTTACTGTGAGCCAGTTGAACTGACTCGTCGCGTTGTCTAAGACGGTTTGTTTTGTTTTGGTTTTTTTGTTGGGTTTTTTTTTGTTAGAGTTTTACGGCGCTCGCAACTGCATAAGGTCATGTGAGCGCGCGGGACACTTTAAACTTTTCAATTGGTAGGAAACTTGAATTTTACCCGGGTGGCGGTCGAAGCCTACCCTTATCGATTTTAGACCACCAAGAGATCTTTAACGTGCGCAACTAGCACGCGGGCCCTCCGAGATTTTTTCGCCCTTCTCCGAGAAGGCTAGGTGTAGATCTTTCCTACCAGAAGAACATGGGTGCGGCTGAAAGACAGCAGTAAGAAGGAGCCAAGGAGTAGCAGTAGAAAAGTTCCAGAAAGAGTCAGGAGCCCAGAGGATGGGGCACAGGAGGGGAGGGGGAGAAAGTGGAGACGTAAACAGACCAGAACATTGCTAGAGAGCAGGAAAAGAAGTGAAAAGAATGAAAAGAGACAATTTTAGAGAAGAAAATTTTCGGTCGTTACCCGGATTCGAACCCGGGACCTTTGAATGAGAGGCCCACACCTTAACCTCAAGGCCACGAGAGCCCGCGGTCTCAGAGTTAAAGTTAAACGTGAAATCATGCACGACGTTACATTCCAACTGACCAAGTATCTCAGCTGGGAGCTGAGCAGTGACGTAGGGGCACACGACTCGGACAGGTCCAGCTCACAGCACAGCTGAGTGATCTCCGGGTTTCTGTGAAGCCATTTGCTGTAGGACCATGTCAGATTGTCCGACATCTGAAAAATTAAATTAAATTTGAAAAGTTGAATTGCGACGTTATTACAGTATATTGTAACCGGAAGAACAAATTTCGAAAGCTGAGAACCGATATTGTTAAGGTATGTCGTAATTTGGAAAGTTGAAAAAAGATATAGATCTAGATCTAGTTGAGGCATATTGTAACCAGAAGAATAAATGTGAAAACTGACAAATGATATTGTAAAGGTATTATGGAATCTGATGAATACATGTTTGTGAAAAGTTGAAACATGATATAGCTAAAGTATATTGTAATCAGACAATAAATTTGGATAGTAGAAAAACGAAATGGTTATGGAATATTGAATTTGAAATGTAAGTTTGAAAAGTTGAAAAAAGGATTTTTTTTTTACCGTATATTGTAAGTTAGGCGCAATATAGGCTATCATGTGGGGTTATTTTTTCATGCAGTACAATCTGGACTCTTTTTTTTCTCCCCGATTTCCCAAACTTTTCCTTTTCTGTTTTTCTTTTTAAAGGATTATTTCCACGTTTGTTGAGAGGAGCAAAAAAAAAGAAAAAGAAAAAGAGAGACAAAACATATCCTTGGATGGCATTTAAGCCTATTGTTTACTTCTCTCTTCTTCTTCTTTTTCTTCTTCCTCTTCCTCTTCTTCTTCTTCTTCTTCTTCTTCTTCTTGTTCTTCTTGTTCTTGTTCTTGTTCTTCTTCTTCTTC